GTCAGCCAAATCCTGATAGCGCCCACTAGTGCAAACCCAGCAAGCGTTTGTGTCATTCTATTGTGGTCTCTCAGACAATGACAAGCAGAACCTAGTGTGTCTGTACCTTAAATAATTACGTATTCTGGGCTCGTAACGAAAATGGACTAAGATATAATGGAGTAAATATTTTATAATGCTGGGCGGCCATTGAGAGACATTACCACAAAGATCTCTCTCTTTTTCTCAAGTCAAGCGTGGGAATTCTTGCGCATCAGCAACTTTCAGACGAAACGTAAGGTCAAGCCTTCTGAACTCCAACAGAACGCTCCCGCCCAAATATATTATATTAATGTATTTTTACAATGCGCATAACCAATTAAAACCTTATCCCCAACGTGAGTGTCAAAGGCTGCTCTTCTGTCTCCTGCAAAGCGAAGAATGTTCATACTCGTGTTATCTACTAATGTATCATGTGTAAAAGATGTTAACTTACTCGTATTGTTGTGGCATTGTAATGAAGTATACTTTAAACATAGGGAGCCAATAACCAGACAGTCAAAGCACGTCAGGAAATAAAATGTAATAGAGACAAGTTTAGCATCGTTAAAGTCTTTTTCTGAATGAAAAAAACCCATCCGAACCCAGGTGTAGCAAGTTTAGATATGACGACATTTTAGGTAACAAAATAGGTCCCACGTGGACAGAAGTTATAGATTAAAGTTTATTTTAATATTGTATGGTATATCATAGGTCATAGGTGCAAATGCAGATTAAGGGACCGACCATTTGATAATTTCGTGGAGAGGGATGTTGGGTTGGGGTGTAGGATGTGTGGGGTGTGGAGAGCCCTAGTACCGTATCATTTGCCCTTCCGTCCAGAACTTACTCTAATGATTTTCCACATGTTCTCCATCTCCTATCTCACTCAGACTCATTTTCAATTTAAATGGAGCTCCTTGTTTCTATCCCTATACATATTTTCAGAGACTAAGCGTTAGTCTCGGGTGGTGTGTTTATATCACAAACTACAAGTTTAATAACTTTCTGACGATACAAAGGGGCATCCCGATATCGACATCAATTCACGGAAATTAGTGAGTGAGTGACGTTTTACGCCGCTTTTAGCAATATTCCAGCAATATCACGGCGAGGGACACCAGAAATGGACTTCACACATTGTACCCATGTCGGGAATCGAACCCGGGTCTTCGGCGTGACGAGCGAACGCTTTAACCACTAGGCTACCCGACCGCCCCCATTGAAGTCAGAATATGTCCACAGTTGCCTTTAAATTTGATCCGTTTCATAGAGATGTGTGGAGGTACCTTGAAGCTGAAAAATTGGCTTGTGACGCCGAACAGTTGGGCTCGTGAACATTGGCTCCCCATTCGAAGCCAATTTTGGTGTCTCCAGGCATGAAATGCCTGTACCAATGCCAAGGAGGCGGTAAAACATTCCACACTCACTCACTCTGCATATAATGGACTTTGTATGCCTCGTTCATGTCAATATTCACATATATGAAACAATTAAATTATTTACCCAATGTCACAAATATCTCAAAACAAATCACGGAAGAGTCTTTAACAAGGAACGAGGTACTAATATCTTTGTTAACTGAGTTGACATGTAACCGCTTACCCCTCAAGTATTAACCGAAAAGCGAATTAGCATGTTGTATTTCCTCAATCGGCCAACGGTCCTAAAGATACGTGTTGTAATCACCAGTATGATTGTGACGAGACAGTTTCCACGGATTGATGAGTAACAACTCGAGATTATACTTGGCAGGATTTAAACTCGGCCACTTTCTCATAAAAGTCTTTGATTAAACACCTCTGCATTAGTAAATCGACGATTAAGCGAATTCTTTGATTAATCCCTGACAGTTTATGCAACACATTAACCCTAAAAATATATGTTAATTTTTAAAAAGAATTATACAACCAACTACAGGAGAATTGAAGTCATGTCAGGGGCATTTAAAAGAAAATATCAATAAATTTGAAAATATTACGTATAGGTGTATACTACAACGTATGCTTTCCATATTGATATGACTTTCTTAACATATTATGAAATATTTCATAAATGCACGATATGTTACATACGTATCCTCTATTTTTACAATATCTTCATAGGGGGACAAAAGACGGGACATTTTCAGAATACTTAAACATTATGTTCATATCTTTTAAAGGTACAGCCAATATCCACATTCAGTGTTCGGGGTAGGATTTACATGGTGAGTGCAGTGCGCCTTTAAGATCTCACTGATTATTCCTATCATACACACCAGTGTCGCCAAGCAAGGTCATTCAATTCGCTGACCTGGCAACAAACTACACTAAACCTTCACAATTTATCATGTATGAGATTTGTTTATATATGCCAAACAATAACGGGCAATCGCATTAGGCACAAACCGCAAACGTGTCAATAGAGACACGCTTTATACTAATGCCTTGGGGTAATACGGACGATGTCCAACTCTCCATGTTATAGAGTTCGTACACGCACAACCACATTCCCAAATCATTCAGGCGGGTGGAAATATGTGGAGCAGGTACTTAGGAATCGTGCAACCCTATTCTCATGCATGTATCGGTATCCTCAGGGAGCTATCTATAAATTTGTTACAGTTAGTTGGACGTACAGTTCTGTTGAAATGGTTAGATCTATGTTCAATGTGAGGAAGAAGCACCTGTATACATTACGGGTGGGGACCGAGAACACGTCATTTGATCACCAGTGTGTGTTAACGATCTGAGGAACCATTGCAGTAAGGCATGCTGTAGTCAATGTTATCCGTGAGGGGAAGTTTGTTAGGACTATGGGAAAAGTGTGAACGTCCTCACGTTATGTGCATGACAGTGGCAGTTAGAAATTTTGATCCACAAAACTAGGGTCCATGTGTTATTTTAGTCGAAGTGTTTAAATAGAACCAAACACAACTAATAATTGTCACTGGGTATATGTTGAGAAATATTTGTCACATAAAATCTCTACATCATTATAACCTTATTTTAGGATGTAAGCAATTGCTCTAAGCACGTAATTGTCAAATACACTATTATTTAAAAATCTTAGCCAACTAAAACAACGATATAACCATAGTCATAACAAATATTAATAATAACCCATATATTTAAATAAAATAGGGATATTATCAAAAACGGGTAAGAGCATCTACTGATTTGCGATAATACAATTCTATATTTTTGAAGTAATGATTCATCAGACAAAACATAGCAAAACAAGATAAGAATTCTTGATTCCAAATTCATTCAAACTTATCTCAAACCAGATTACTGTGAAAAGTTCCACACCTGTCTTGAATACCAAAACAACAAAAATGACTGCTTAATCAATAATTATAAGTTATAAGTTTCAATACCGGGCATTAATTGAATAGCTCCTATATATCATACAACTATTGGTTTAAAAGGTTAATCATCTTGTAATATTAAGTATAGAAAAAACTGAAATAGCAGTTTTATCTCATACTCACTTAATTATTCTATATATTGATGATATGACATTACATAGACAAAATGTCATGGCAAACTTCTAAAGTTTCTTTATATAATGAATCTGGAGCATTCAACCAAATATCTATATCTCCCAGTATGGTTGCAGCTTGTGCTGATGGTATACATGTCACTGTTCCTAACTTTACTTAGCCCTTGCAGGGCTGTAGTTCATAGGTATCTCGCCGACTGCACAGGGCTGGCACTGGTATAACTGCGATGTAGCCGTGGCCTACTATCAATGGTAATCACACCTCTCAGGGATTAGACTCTGTCCTGGAGATGACGATAGTGATGATCGATAATACAGTTTCGCGGGAATAGGTGTGTTAATATCATCTGCGTTGTCAGCTAGATTTTCAAATAATTATCTATATCTTTAATTACATCAGCGGTACATTTAGATTGTCTCTCCCGATAACAACATGTGGTTCTGTGGCACGCCAGGGGTCACAGGGTCAACACTAAATTCCGCCTAAGGAAAAGACAGTCAGGCTGAAGTGTTTGTTCTGTATGAGTGATCAACTGGAGATCTCGCCAGATGGGTTTTCAGCACAATGTGATATTCTTTTGTAACAATTTACGGCTTGTGTGAAGAGATGCAAGTCATGGCAACAAGAGAAACATTATTTCTGGGAAGGAACGCATACGATACATATAAATGTACGGGTGACAATCAAAAATTGCTTGATTCTTGAAATTTTACACCACCTATGCATGCTTGGCGACATCCGTGCTGCGGCACTATTACGATTTGGGCAATGTCCATGCGTGCCCTACCGTGGCGTGTTGCTCGTCTGACAGAATGTGATTAGATGCCAAATTGAAAATGTCACATACATACAAAATACTGGATAATATAAGACCCAACGGTGTTAAGGCTAGACATTTGATGGGAGATTGTATCCAATTTTTTAAAAATAAAAAAATAATCTTAGATAAGGGTAGAGACGGGGTCCCGTGCGTGAAAAAAAAGTAATTAATCCCACATAGATTCTTGTGGAAGTGTTAGTGTAGATACTCAATTTGAACTAAAATGTGAAAATATTCCATTCACGACTGTCTCCATAACCTCGAGTTTGGGCAATTTACTGCCACACTGTCAAAAGCAAAATGTTATTTTTGTTGCAATAAAACAAAATTCAGTCGACTGTAGATGATATTTGATGCTTAATACGCTACGGTTTCTCCCGTGTCATTTTACAGCCAACCTCCCGGACGGAGCTTGTCAACAGGCCATCTCACAGCACGCTAGCAGACGCTTGTCCACAATAAACAGTTTTAGGACAGGAAGTACTACCAAAGCGAGATCAACTCGCAAAGTTAATGTAGTGCTGTCAAACCTTTTTGACAATACCAGCACAGTCAAGTAACCGTGTTTTGAAAACACAACACATACAGAAGTCGATAGCCCCAAAACACGTGGTTGGAGGCAGAAAGTTTGACTCGATCGGGCGTTTGTGATAAGCGAATGTACTGGCGACCTACCTGAGCGATATCCAAATGTTGGGTTAGACAGTTGGAGTAACACTGGCCCCAGAGAATATGTTGACTGTCCGAAATTACTCCAATAACTCCCAGAACAAGGGTAATTCCCCCAAAGCAGCTCCCCTTCATAGCTACATGGGTAATCGGTCAGCTTGCTTCCTCCACAGGTAAAGCTGCGAACCGAACGACTACCTGTTTGATATCTCAAGTCGTCTGCATTAGCTTGCGGTTGTGCAAAGTAATTGCCTCAAGCTGATTGGTTGCTATTTCTGGCATCGGCGTTTCATTGGCTGAGTTGCTACATTCACAAATCTGATCAGACGCTTCAATGCCAACCAGGTGAATGAATATACGATCAAAAATAACCGAGCAGTCGTGTAACGGTTAAATTTCACGCGATGATTACGCAATTTTCAGCTAGATAAATATTCAAATCGTTGCAGCCGATTAGATAGAGGATACTATGAAACATGGACTGTTTGCCGATGAGATAAACTGTTTATGCTGCATGATGTTCAGACTAGGCCTTGGCTAATCGAGTAATATATATCTATGCGTGTCTATGCTGAAACATGTTTAATCACCTAGTCGCACCAGGAATACCATGGTAGATGCACATAACACAAGTACTATCATTTCCGTTGAAGATTTCGAACGTTCTGGTTTATAATTTGTTCTAAAATAAAAATGTGGATTTAGAAAATTCAAAATTTTAAATTCAGCTTTGCCTTGGATTATTTGTGATACACATATCATGATGTATTGTCTGTTTATTTTCATTCCTAAAAAAACATCAAGTATCCCTGGTCTGCCGTGACATGTTTTCATAGTCAGAAATTCAATACATCTGTGAGCAATGGAGTCGGTGCCACCATGATTAAATTGGTAAAAGCAGTTTCAGTTTTCAGTCAATTCATATGATCACCATTACGTTTGCCTTTGAGAACAGTATATGTTAATATTTTCAGTATATTACATTTGAAAAAATGTATACCCATGTTACTGTATGTTCTAATGGACTGCAACACTGTAGGCCCTTCAATGTGAGTATGTGGGAGGTACACGCTCTTATTTGTCCAGCAGTTGCGTGCAACATTAAACATTTAAAAAATGTTTGGGTGAACACACGTTTTCTTAAATAAATAACAAGTTGTCATTTACATATATCGAATGTCTAAGTCAACAATTCGTTGCGAGAAAAAGTAATTTTTAGGATCTCCTGGAGGTGACGAGGGGAGAGGGGGAGGGAGGGTGTCATGGTTTTGTCATGGTTAAGCAGATACCGTATAATAGATCTCTGGGTTAAGGTAATGAAAAACCCAACAACTGGGCTGTCTGATTCCTTTGAAACACAGAATAATGGGAAGTATGACACTGGAAAATGAGCATCCATTCTGGGAGGTTCTCATCGTGCACATGGATGAAATCATTGCGACCGCCTGAAAACAACGGTAACGTCGAATGTCGATATGGTCATAAACTCTAGCTTCCTAGTTCTGCTGTGCCTGCCCCAAAGCAAAGATCTAAGATATAATCAGAAAATTGACGTTACAGTGTATCAAATAGGTTTTCAGAGCACAGATATGTCAGGGTACTTTCGCCATGCATCTGTAAGTACGCCCATAACGCTGGCTGCTTGTCCACTTAGTGAGTGAGTGAGTTGGGTTTAACGCCGCTTTTAACAGTGTTCCAGTTATATCACGGCGTGTCAGCTTAATGTGGGAGGGAAGCCCGAAGTGATGCAGGCCTCAGACGTTAACCACTTCGGTGAAACCCACGAGCACTGGAATGGTGCTGACAAACCTAGAAACATAATCGGGGTGAACCTGGATTCGAACCCACAATCATAGGTTTCTGGCGTGCCCAAGGGACGCAACTCTGCACAGCGAATCGCGGCGCCCCAGACGACTGGGCCACCCGTGCCCCCTTGTCCACTTCGAACGTGACGTGACCATCTTTTATAATACTCTTTGGGACCAAAAAAACAACGGAAGTGGACTTACAGTGCCATGGTATTATTTACCAAACACATTGTCAACATGGTAATACTGTTTCTTTGTATTTGTTATGGTGTTGTTCAACCAGAACCTCATTTCTCAGTAGACGTTTCCCATTTAAATAAATATAATATTCATGTGAAATTGTACGTGAATATCATAAAAATATATTGTTTCATTTTAATAAAGTGATAACTGTTTTGTCGGTGCCAATGTCTGAATAATTATTTTAAGGTAATTGATGTGTCACAGGAAATCACAGGTCCGGTGTTGAGCTGTCGCTTGGGTGGTCGCTTGTAGACAGCCTACGGAACGCTGGTTCACTATCCCGTCGTATATGACATGTTTATGAATTGAAATAATATTTGATGTCATTGAAACTTATCCCACGAATTCATGTTCATCTGAACTGTTTAGATAACACATCCAGTCGTTTTACATTTTTGATGACACTGCACAACGTTCCACTATATTCCCTTTTCGTGTGAAAGCCAGTCCTGTTTTGTGTAGTCAATCACAATGCTTATGTTGTTTGACATGTGTCAATCAAGAGACATGGAGTGTAACCGACATGGCTTTTACTGCAAATAACAAACACGCCGATTCAAGTGTGTGCGTTTAGTTGTATATTTGTGAATGATGAAACGAGCACTTGTAGATACGTGTATATCGGAGGAACATGCCGAGAAGAATATACCTCACAAAAGGTGATCACTTTTTTGTTGAAGTTTGTGAATTAGGTTTTGCACGTATATCAAATCTACGATACATTTCATTAACGCCGCAGTCAGCAATACATAAACTATATCACGATGAACTGTAAATAATCAAGTTTGGGACAGACAAACCAGTGATTAAAATTATTAGCAGTGAGTGAGTTGGGTTTAACGCAGCTTTTAACAGTATTCCAGTTATATCACGATGAAAAAATATGTCAATGTGTGGAGCTTGGGGTAAATCTACGGACGCGCATTACAGCGCCTTGGTTACTCGTCAAGGAATGATGGTCTATCGTCATTGTTGGAGTATGCGTGCTCGCAGTTGTATGAACAGTTATGTGAGTGAGTGAGTTGGGTTTAACGCCGCTTTTAACATTATTCCAGTTTTATCACGGCGTGTCAGCTTAATGTGGGAGGAAAGCCCGAAGTGATGCAGGTATAAGAAGTTTACCACTTCGGTGAAACCCACGAGCACGGGTATGGTGCTGACAAACCTAGAAACATAATCGGGGCGAACCTGGATTCGAACCCACAATCATAGGTTTCTTGCGTGCCCAAGGGACGCAACTCTGCACAGCGAATTGCGGCGCCTTAGACGATTTGACCACCCGTGCCCCCGAATGAATATAAAATAAACACAGACCAGAGAAGAACAGTACACATTTATCTTTCACTATTACTGTGTCAAGAGCTCGAACTCCTAACGAGGCTTTTTGTCCAGGAGCAGGGGTATCCACAACGGGCTGGGGTAGCCCAGTGTTGAGAGCGTTCGATCGTCACACCAGGTTCGATTCCCCACATGGGTAAAATGTGTGAAGCCCATATCTTGTGTCGCTAGGGATATCGGCGACGTTTTGGAATGGCCATTGGTTGTTTGATAAAGACAGATACCCGTGATCACTAATATGCTATGTGCGTGATGTATGTGTGTATGATGTATGTTGAATTTTATTCGATTTCGAAGTGATGGTTGAAGAGGAGGGACATGTATGTCCAAATGGCATCCAGGGGGTTAACTCTCGTTAGTTTCCGGAATACGAGTAGCTTTTAACGTTTTTTGTGACACATATTGCCTCCAATACAAAGTGAGTGAGAGAGTGAGGACACCACAAACGGAATCGAACCCGGGTTTCGGCGTGACGAGCGAACGCTGTAACCGCTGTCGCTTGTAAAGATGAATGGACGTCTTTCTGCGAACGTTGTCAAATTTCACTGATAAAACTAAAGTGTGTTTATGACATTTAGGCTACATTTGACCCCCTCTAAGATAATAATATCAGGCTGGCTTCACGTGCAGCGTGGGGGTGGCGGAATGTCATACATAACATCTTTATCAGTAATAACCTACCCCACTTGTCTTTTAACCCCATAGGAATAGTAAGATATCATTGATAAATTTACTGTTATAAAAGTAAGATAAATCATTGATAGATTTACTGTTACAGTGAGTGAGTGACGTTTAACGCCGCTTTTAGCAATATTCCAGCAATATCACGGCGGGGGACACCAGAAATGGGCTTCACACATTGAACCCATGTCGGGAATCGAACCCGGGTCTTCGGCGTGACGAGCGAACGCTTTAACCACTAGGCTACCCGACCGCCCCTACTGTTACACAAATATTGATATTATTATGATGAAAGTAAATATCTGCATTTCAGACTGATCACTATTCTAACTATGTACAAAACGCTTGTCTCCCAAAACAAGTACATGATGTGGTTTCTGTATTTGTATGATGTAAGACTATTCCACATAGGGATAATGGCGGTGCTTTAGCTGCCCACTGGACCATTAACTTTGTTGTTTTGGGATGTAGTGATTTTGGTATTTTGTTATTTTTTATTTTATTTTATTTTATATATAAAAAAAATAATAATTTTTTTTATTTCTTTTTTTGGGGGGGATATCTATACATCACAGCCGGTCAAATAGGGACTGAATGACAGAATAAACATAGCAGACATTTCTTTTTAACTTAAATAACATCATAAATGCTTAGTAGAATCAGAGTATGAAATTTTGAAATATATTTACAAAATTTAGTTTGAATTTTGCTTTCGAATTCACGGGGGGCTTTCTACACCCCTAAAATCAACTAAAATGTTTAACGAAACATTTAGGAGTTCTGAGATAAGTGCTTCAAAACATAATTGTACAATTAGATAAAAATGAACATTTCTGTGATCATAAGAAATCCCTACGAAAAACAGCCCATTGCAACATTTCTACTATATGATGGACATGAGTTAATGTATCACTATCAAATAGTGATGATATCCCGGGTTCGCGATAAGGTGAGCTTATCCTGTCCACAGGTGGCAGATGCAAAGTCAAGTCAATTGTTCACCTGAACCAAACACCTGGGGAACATATGGTACAAGCCAAGATAGCGACTTGCATCGAACAGCATTTTGGTCACTGATGAATCAAAATAGGAAATATCCTCCACATGTCTGTTATAAAACGTTTTGAAAGCTTTGCTGAGGCCTTGTATATTGTAAC